GGGAGTTTTTTCGTTTTTAAGAAATAAAGAGATTACAATTTAGTTTGTCTCATATTGCAGGTATTTTTAATACATAAAAAAGTATGAATTTTTTTTCAATGGCACCAACAGTGCAAACGTTATGCACTCAAAAACGGTTTCTGGCACTTTCTGTAATTATTGACTATTCTCCAACATAACAAACCCTTCCGAACAACTTCCAATAGTCTTTTACCTTCATCCATTTAGCGCCCGAAACCGGCCTTTTAAAATCTCATCTGACTGTACTATAATCGGTATATCTGACTGTACTATAAGTTTCCAGAAAACGATGACTCGCCAAGGGGTCGCTTTGAAACGCGCTGGTATTTTGTTGGTTTTTTCCCTAGTCTCAAGTAGCCGGAAAATTATATCGGTGTCGAAGGCGGTTGTGCGCGACTCGGGATCATCAGCCCTAGATAGTATCTATATTTGCTTTTTATGTGGGATGTTTTTCTATCACTTGGGAATGCAGACAATAAAACGAGTGACGTCAACCAGTTCTGGGTACTACCCTAAAATAGTACCTGGCATCCCTCCTACGAGACTTTTATTTCTTTTTTGCCCATCGAGAAACCTGTCTAATATACTCAGACAGAGTCATGGAAACTCGAATTACCGCTCGATCGCAATTTAAGCCGATGGAGAGGGAATCTTCGCCGGAGTATAGAAACATATGGAAATGTTTCATATTCTTCCTGATATGTCGATTGGCGTCACTTACCACCAATAAATTGCAATTTGCGAATCTCACGTCCCTAACACTTGCTTTAATCAGTGTATCACGTATATTTTCTTACGTGTTTTACAGTTCTAAAATCATGGTGCAACCAAATTACGTTTTTACCGGAATTTATGGCTCTGGCTTCCTGGACAAGAAGAATAACATCTGGTTGAAGTACATTAGTAACATCGTGTCCATTGATTTGCAAAATTTGATCGCCTTCTGACAATCTCGGCATGCACTTGTCGGCTGAAGTGTTTGGAGCTACCTTAGACACCAGTATAGGTACACTAATTTCTGTCCCTCCTGAAAAAATAACATAATCTACAGATTGAGTCTTCGCTTATTTTTATTTTTAAATTGATGAAAATTATATCGGAAGCCATGCATTCAAACAGATGTTTTTTGCCCTGTCAGCATTACAGATTTTTTATGGTTGGTATTTAAGACCAGCTCATAAAAACTTTAAATGTAGAACGATGGCAAAAATACATTAAGATTACTTTTCTTGGTGAAGCTCTAAATAGGTACAAGCTTCTACATCAAGAATTCGCGAAATCCACGTTGCGTTTATAACAAGCAAATTTATTCTACTGAGCAAAGGAAGTGGCCGAAACCCAACAGTTCATTGCTGAAGCCATACGGAAAGTACGGCTCCTAAACTACTATTCAGACCGTTTTGCGCATGATAAATTCAAAAACCAATAAGTCTGTTATCACACCTGTGTACATAAACTTTTCACTATAATTATGAACAATCGACTGACTACGAAACTAGACCCCTACCAACCAGTGGAGCAAGCAGGCTTTCGAAAGGGCTTTAGCACTACATCGAATATAACATGCCCCGACATCTGACGTTTGTCGACTCCCAGAAAGCCTTTGACAGCGTTGAAACCTGGTCTTTTCTAACAGCAATAGACGACGAGAGCAGCAACGCGAGATACTCTACCCTTATTAAGAATATCTATGATAAGAAACCTTTCACGTAAAAATAGACGACGATCTTAAAACAGACAGAATATCACGTGGCAAAGCAGTACGACAGGGGAGAACGATCTCTCCCAACCTGTTTACCTTAGCACTGGAAAATGTTTTAAGAAGCTCGAAAGGGAAAACAAGGGCCTAAACATCGATAGAACATACCTCAATCACCTCAAATTTGTAGGTGATATAGTCTTCATGAACACCAACATTCAGGAAATGAACATCCTAAATGCGTTAAACGAGCAATCCAAGAAAATAGGCCTAAAAATGCACGTAAACAAGACCAAAAAAATAATGAGCAAAAATGTTACATAGCCATAGAGCATAGTAGAACACTTCATATACTAAGGACATAAAATCAAGCTGGGTACAGAAAACCAAACTGCGGAAATCAAACGCATGATCCATTTGGCATGGGTGACATGTGGCGAGACAGGACCCAGAAAACGGCACTCTGAAGACCAAAAGGAACACTGTGAAGTGGGACGACCAAAAAAGGGACGGATGGACGATGTCACAACGGTGGCAGGAGGACAATAGATGAGATTAGCGAGAAATCGCGGGATATTGTAAAACCTGGAAGAGGCTTATATCCGACAATGACTGAAGACGGGCCGAAGAAGTAAAGAAGAAGATTAAAAAAATAGACCGCTATTAAAATTAGATATTAATTTCGGACTTCTGAAACGCCCGTAAAACGTCATGCTAAAGAAATGCAATCATTGCCGTTATGTCAAGTATCACTTTTGCGCAAAGTTTCCTTGATTATGAGCATTAGCTTGAAAAGGAATTCAAGTAACCGTTCTGTCAACCTTTCTTTAATATTAATTTCGAGTGCTGATCAAGCATTATTTTTTACCAAAAGAAAACATCAAAGAAACGAAGAAAACGGTTGATAAATACTGTAACGGAAATGGCCTGGAGCCCAATTCTCGAAACTGGGAACGGCGATCGCATGAGAAAGAAGGGCGTAGTTCTCTCGTGAAGCGAATATTGGTATTCTTGAACGCGATCGAGTGATCCCATCACGCAACGGCAGTAGAACAAGCTTCTCTTGCCAAATCTCGC